GAAGCAAGCCACGGTTATCGGCATTCGCAAGCCGAATAAACCAGCCCAATCAGCCCTCTAGCTATCGTCCCATCAGCCTCCTCAGTTGCCTGGGGAAGCTCTACGAGCGGCTATTGTTAAACAGGCTCAAAGAGCACGTATTTTCCAACGGCCTTCTGCCGACGGAACAATTCGGCTTTCGAGCTAGACACTCTTGTCGCGATCAGTTATACCGCCTAACGGAGCACATCCTAAAAGGCCTTAACCACCCCAAACACATTAGTACAGGGGCTCTCTTCTTCGATGTCGCAAAAGCATTCGACAAAGTCTGGCACAACGGCTTGCTTTACAAGCTGTACACACTCAAAGTGCCAGATAGGCTCCTACACACCATCCGGGCCTTTTTGTTGAATCGCTCTTTTCGATATCGAGTCGAGGGCACCCTCTTCACAAGCCGCCGCCTCACGGCCGGCGTACCACAAGGCTCCTGCCTCTCACCCTTGCTATTTATGCTCTACACGAGCGACATACCTAGAGACCCCCACGTCAATCTCGCGCGTTTCGCGGATGACACGGCGCTCTTTTACTCAGACCGCAACCTCAGTCAATTAACGACTCGACTCCAAAGCGCTGCCGACCGCCTCGGCGATTGGTTCCGCAAATGGAGGATCGATTAATATCCAGAAAAAAGTGTGGCGATTCACTTCACTCGTAGCACCCCCAACCCCCATCCACCACTACCTACTTTCGACTCGCGTATGACTTTCACTACGCACATCAATCAAGTCCGAAACAAAGCCGCGTTCGTCTCCGGCCGGCTACACAATTTAACGAATAAAGTAAAATGCCCTTAAGGCACAAATTACTCTTATATAAAGCTTGCGTAAGGCCAATCATGTCCTACGCATGCATGATCTTCGCACACATAAATCCTACGCGTATTAACAAATTGCAAGTAGTTCAAAGTAAGTTTATCCGCCGCGCAACCGGTGCGCAAAGGTATCAGCGCAACGTCGACCTGCACAGCGATTGCAGACTCTCGACGATTCGCGCACATTTTAAAGATTTGACAAAACGGTTCTTCGATAGAGCCCAGCATCATCCCAACCCTCTGGTGGTAAGCGCAGCAAACTACCAACCGGACACAAACGCGAACGTAAACAAGCGTCGCCCGCGAAACGTCCTCATCGACCCGGTCGACGAAGAGGACTTAGATACGATGGACCCACCGCCGGGGGTCCCGCCGGATAACACTACACCCACAGTTATTGTAACAACAATCACACCAGTTCGCCCTCGCCTCCGAGCACAGCGAGACCCACACAACGCGTACACAAGGTACACCCGCGTTCCGGGGCGGTTCTCACCGCTCCCAGCCACCGATTAGCTAAATGCACAGTCGACGGCCGTCGGGGTCTCGGTCCGAACCGGCGACCTCGACGGCCCTTAGATGACACACCATAGTAGTTAAACACACGCATGAGCACATGCGCGACCCTACCTATAGCGGAGGGTCCAAACCCGTGGGTTCTGGCTAGCCCACCGGTTCTGCGTCCGATGAAACTTTAATAGTCTCGGGACTGAAAGCAAAAACATCAGTTAATACAAGATACAAGATGCACGCCGGTCGTCTGTGAGCCATTCGTGCAACAGCAAGACTGCTGCACGGCCCAACCTTAGTTAAAACTGTATACAAAATGCGCGCAGAGGTTTATTCTAATTTATTATTTTACTTTATTTTATTAGGGATAACAAACAGATACAATATAATTATGATATAAACAGATCTGCTGCGTTGAGGTAGTAATAATATTGCAATCCACTACATTATCCACGTAGTGAACATATAATATTTTAATGGAAGCTAAGAGATACGTTACAATTAATAAATACAAATATATAGCAAAAATATTTTAGAAAAAGAAACAATTATGTATCTAATTCATTATACATATTACCATATTATAATTACACACATTACAATAATCCATTAACATCGGAGAGTGTAAATAATTATGGTTGACTCCCAAAATTATAACGGCTTTGTATTTATAATTTAATACAATGATGTAAAAATAGACATACCACGTATCGAAAATTTGATATGAACTGTATTCTTAACGCATAATGGAGACCACAGTTGTATCTCCAATTACCTACTTAAGCAATTGCCATCAACCGGAACGTCCTCTCAACGTAACTCTTGGTTTATTCACTTGCGTTTTAACAATGGAAAAAGTCGTAAGTTCAGCGTTAGATTTTTAAATCTCGGGAAAATTCATCAAATACCCGGGGTCCCCCATAGACTAAGTGCTCATCCCCAAAAATTATAGCAACGTCCAAATTCTGGTGGAAGCGTTTGTGTAATTGTTATTTGCAGTTTTGAGACGGTTTAACTGAACTAGATGTTCATAGAAAAGTTCATAGAAAGCTTCTCATGTGGTCCCATGTTAATTTAATTGGTATTGGATCTTGGGCTCCGGAGATACTTAGGGAAATCCTGGAAATTTGATGAATTTCGGAATAGAAAATGACACCAAAATCATTTAAAGGCTCTTATCGAGCTCCATTTAAAGGCTCTTATCGAGCTCTTAGCGAGCTTTGTTCTAATTACTATTATACATCTTTCCCAATATTGGAAAAAGACTCGATGCAGAAATTTTATCAAATTCAGCACACATAATAGCTACCAATGATAGAAACTGTACAATATACCTACATATCTCACATCATAGATAACGTAAAAATTCACTAAAGACACGTAAACGATAAAATATGCGCTATTTAAAAATGCCATTCAGACTTCCGATAAGTAGGTATGTTTAATTAATAACAAAGTTTACGATTGCAGTTACAAGTATTTTCAAACATAATTAATCTTATTAATTATTAACGCAATTACACCTAATGATAATATATAAATAGATAAATTAAAATAATTATATGATAATAAAATAAATAAATATATGGTAATATTATAATATGATATATATATATATATATAAATGTTAAATATATATATATATATATATATATATATACATAATGTCTTACAGCCCAAATAAAGGAAAAAATCCGAAAAATAAAAACGGTGAAAATACCTTGGCGTACAAGTTCGACTCGCCCTTGACCGGTTTCTTATTTTATTTTTTTTAGATTTCAGAAGATTTTTTATTTTTTGAAATAATTGGATTATTAACAATCATATCAAAGCCCGGTTATCCAGGTACTAATATTTACGAATGAAAAAAGAAATACAATAATTATGATTAGTAAATACTATATAAATTTATACTAAAACTTAATTCAACCAATCCTCTACACCTGTTATATATCAATCTTTATTTAGCTTTTTAGGATGAATTTAACCGTTTTACAAATATCAATGTATCATAATATAATCATATTCTGTTCTATCATTTAGCGCATATAAATGTTTATCGCCAGTATTATTTACAATATGTATAATTACTTAGGCGAATATCGGATGTCTTTCTAATATAATATCTCATTACATAATGGTCATTAGGTAGTATTCACTAAAGGTCAGTATGGCTTTAGCATCGCATTGATTCGGTGCGCGCGAGTGTCTGTCCACATGGGACATTTTAAGTATTGAAAGTCAACGTTGAATACATAGTTGTGACGTTTAGTGTGTGTAATCCCGTAGAAGTGCAATTAAATAAGACACGGATTCCTTACTATTCTTGTTAATATTACCTATTTTTTTCCAACCCGCAAAATAATTGTGGGATATTTGAATAAAATCCGAAAATAATAATTTCGCCTTACAAACACTGAGACCGGTTTCCTTCATGATTTATACATATGTGTTTTATTTATATTTGGTCACTGTTTTGGGCTCCGTCTAGGCGTCACATTGAAATCGTTATACGTGCCTCTTAATTGTTTATTATCGCACTATATTCAAATTTTATTAAATTATAATAGTAAGTTAAACCATTAAAAATAACATCAAAAAATATGAACGCTTAAATTTTAAAAATAATGTAATATAATAAATTTTAAGTTAAAGGAAGTCGAGTGAAAGTGCTTTCACATTTTACGAGTTCAATTTAATACTTGGGCACGATCATCAAAGAATTATTAATTTTGTTAATAGTTGGAAAACGGTGAAGTGTACTATCAATAGTCTTTGTTCTTATTGTAACTATTATACAAGTTATTGTAGTATATCATCTTTTAGATTTACAAAGTCATAGGAAACGTATGTTGATCCGTCCAATACAATACAAAGCCCATTATCAACAGTCTATGTCTTATCTTTATCTACATTTAATTGATATCTTACAAACATATCGGGCAAATAAATAATAAAGGCAATGAATGTGTCTTAGCCACAGTCGTGTGTTGTGTTAAGTTTAATATTAAAATTATATTTGTACAGTAAGTGTAAAACGAAAGAAATGGGAGTAGTACCAAATTAAACGTGGAATATTTTCGCTCACAAAATGGCAGAGAAAAATCAAGCTATAAAAGTAAAAAGAGAAGAGAAGCCGTTAAACGATGACATCGAAAAAGATATCAAAAAGGAAACCTTTAAACAAAAACTATGGTATATCAAGGATAATATTACTGTTGAACCTTTACTAGCGGGATTGATTATACCAAGTGTTATATCAAGATTCGCCATGGGAAACTTTAACCTGGACAAAGCTTGCAGAGTTAATCTACAGTTTAGTGATGAAATTTGTGATGCGCTGGTTAAAAGAACCTCGAATTATTCGAGTTACGAGAAAGAAGTGCAGAAGTTGATTTCTTCAATAGACATCTGGAAAGGTGTTATACATACAGCTCTGCCATGCATAATAATAATGTTTTTGGGTGCCTGGAGTGACAGAACGGGCAAGAGAAAAATTTGTATATTGTTGCCAATTTTTGGCGAATTCGCAACGTCAATTAACAATTTAATTAATGTCTATTTTTTCTACGAAATACCAGTACAAGTCACTGTGTTCTTAGAGACTATATTTCCTTCTATAACTGGAGGATGGGTCACAATGTTTCTTGGAGTTTTTAGCTACATCAGCGATATTACCTCTGAAGAGTCGCGAACATTCAGAGTTGGTTTAGTAAATTTTTGCATGACTGCCGGCCTCCCCATAGGCATTGGACTAAGTGGAATCCTGTTGCAGAAAATGGGTTACTATGGAATTTTCTCGATGACAGCCATACTATTTGTTCTGGTTCTTACATATGGATGTTTCTGCTTAAAAGAACCCGATGAATGGCTACGGGAAAAAGGTCTTCCAGTGGTACGGATTTCTTTATTATAATCCCTTACACATCAGTGACTATTTCACATTTTACTGAAATGATTTTAGTTAGCTGAAAATAAAAATAAACCGTGACAAAATCTGTTAGACCATTATTTAAAACAGCATGAAAATATTTTTTCCATAACATATTTAATTTTCATAACTGCATGTTTATTTTCATACAATATCGATATTTCTTCATCGTGTCCACAGTTTTAATATTATGTGAATTTGTTAATCAAAATTCATTTATCGTGAATTATCTAAATATCGATAAACATAAGTTGGTAAATGGTAGGCTGCGAGATTAGCTTTAATCATTGCATGAATGCTATAAAACATTATCTTAGGTGACCTTAATATTAGCATGATACCCTTTTTGGTAAAAATATTTGGATTAACATAGATAATAATAATATCGTATATAAAGAGCAGAAGGTCACGTTTTGTTGGTTGGTTTTGACCTTTCAGTGCAGCCAACAAGTATATGGTCTTTACAGCAAATCGTTATAGATTATATATAATACGATTGTATTGTGTATATGTCGTCTGTGTGTTATAATATATGATACATTTGAATGTCAGTGTAGGCGACTCAATAACCAGATACTATTTGCGTCCAGTCCGTGTCCAATTTTTTATCATTGCATACCTTCACATGTCATGCAGTCCGAAAAAAAAACTGAAGTAAAAAGATTCATTTAAATGAAATTTTTATACGTATTATTCTTATTAATTTATTCCTTGTTGTTATTTTATTCGTTTTAAAACTACGGAAATCAGGTCTTACATGCAGATGAAAGACGTTTTTGATGATGCAGCTTCAAAGAAAGGAACAAAATAAATGTTAGGACAAGAAAAATATTATTAAATGTTCGTACTTAATGATCCTCCATAACATCCCTTGCCAAAATATCCTCATAAGGAGAAATATTAGGCATAATCTGGAAATTCCACATTATAACAAAAAATAGCAAAAACATTTAGAATTTGAATTAAGATGTTTTTGTAGTAGTTAAGTTTGGGAGTTACCTTTGATTTTTAATTCAATTTGTCATTTAACCGAAACATCGAGGTAATCCATTATCTTGATTTAGGTTCAAAGAAATATTTATTTATCAAAAAAGAATATTACAATATTCACTTAACAATGAGAAAATTTTACATAGTACATGTTAAATAACAATTTAAAAAGTGTGGATAATCGAAGTTATTGCTTAACTTTCCATTAAAAACATTTTTAATATTTTTTTTTGAAACTCGTTAAAGAGGAACAATTTTTGACATGGGGTGGTAACTTATTATATAGCTGAGCTCCTTCAAACTGTATATTTGAATAAACCAATCAATTTAAATTAACGAAACACATTCGAAATAAAGAAATAGTTTCCCATTAAGATCGAAAATAGCCCGTGATGCTGCATAAGGGAACATTAATAATTATTATGAGTATTATCTGTACATGAAATCGATTCTGTAAACGAACCGGGCGCTGCTCTGCATAATATAAACTGGGAAATAATCGCGACCGTTAACACTGCATCGGATGTTTTATAATTGCAATTTTCTCGCGCATTGACTGTATACTTCCGGCTGTATATTTGCATTAAGCAATTACCGACAATCCCTTTATCGAAATAATCATAGTAAGAAAATTTAAAAGGTTGCCCCGCATTTAAATATTTACATTTAATTAAACACAGTCAGGTCTTTTTTATTTATTTGCTAGCTGCTAAAAACGAATGCGAATAATGAGTCCATTGAGTTTTGCCCAACGTAAGCTCAAGATTTATTATAGGAGAATGTTTAATACGAATATTGTCAGTAATGTATAATTTAGCAACGTGCCTAAAGTACAAAATAAGATTCATTATTATGCAATACCAATAACTATGCTTAATTAGAGAGTACCACGAATACATTTATAAATGGTTTTTTATCCCCATTGGGTAACATTTTACAAAGGAATTTATATAATGATGAGACAAGACATAAAATTAACTTGATGAAAACAAAAAATTGAATCGGTCTCCTTCCGGTATTTAAAATTTGCCAATTGCCACAGCCTGCTTCTGATATTCGCTATTGGCAAATATTGAACGCTTTCTTTCTTGCAGGTAGACCGCACAGGGACGCCCAAAGTGAGTTTCTTTAATATATCACACGTGTCAGATACTGTGGCAGTGGCAACCAGGAAACGACCATCTAATAGGCGTGTAAAAGTGATCCTGACGCTTTTTAGTGTCTTCATTTTATATGGACCATCCATGTGTGAGTAATCTACAAAGGTTGTGTTATCTACATTTAACTGTGATAGTGCCACGCCGCAGCCTCGGCTGTTGCACGAATGGGCAGGCTCGTGCGGGTAAGTACCACGACCTCACAGAAGACCAGCGTGAAGTGGAGGTCGTTTCGTCTCGTGAGTAGCGTGGGGCCAATATATTAAAAGGTGGCAACGCATCTGCAACCCTACCTACGGGTGTTGCAAATGTCAATGGTCGGCGGTTATCACTTGATGTTAACATTAGCTGAACCGTCAGTTCTTTTGCCACCTACTCACATAAAAAAGCGACAGTTATCACTTAACATCAGCTGAACCACCAGCTCGCCTGCCATCTTCTCGCATAAAAAAAAATATCGTAACAGTTTCGTTCGTCTGAGGGTGCTAGTGTTCATTAATCGCATGTTATATAATAATGGTATTGTAAATCAATAGCGACACACCTGTTACGTCCAGGGTAGTTAAATTCGGTGAAATTTTATAGCATCAGCCACCTCTTTGTATGCCATAAGGCAAAAGAGCATGACTACTAATCTTTTAAAAATAATTGATTGTTGATCGTGAAATGTTGAATATATATATATGAAATTAATCGATAATAATATGGTTTGGTCATGGTTGATAAGAATATCAGAAGAAATCATTACTCAGAATAGATCGTGATGTGCGTACATTTATATTAACTTTCTTCTGTGGAATGTTATAATTACATTCTAAATGTATTACGTTCATTTTTTTCTAGTATAATATAAAATAAAAAATAATATTTCAGCTGAACATATGATATTCTATCTGTTCGTGCGCAATAGGCTGAACTGGGATATGGTCAAGTACGGTCTCTTCACGAGCTACTCAATTATTCTTCATTCATTTGGTGAGTATTTCGTTATAGATCGATGTGAAAGGTGGGTGACGGGTTTTAAAACCATGTAGAAGATGGAAGGAATCTAAACTATTTAAACTATTTGAAAGTCGAAAGCCGCTATGTGAAAGTCAAAAGGTCGTAGAAACACTACAAATATTCCGAAAACACGTTTTGGCAAAGCATCCAAAATTGCGCCAATAAGCTTAAATAGCAATAGTATCATATAATGATCTCAACACGTTTTAAAGCAAAAACAGTATTGTTACTATGGATTAATTTAAATGATTAAGAACTTCCTTACTAATATTATAAAGGCGAAAGTTTGTATGTATGGATGGATGTTTGTTACTCTTTCACGCAAATACTACTGAATGGATTTTAATGAAACTTTACAATAATATAGCTTATATATCAGAATAAAACATAAGCTATAATTTATATACATATTTTATGTATATCTGTCTTTCTGTCTGAATGTTACGCCTTCAGCCTATTCTACGCAGACATATTCGCGGGCAGCAGCTAGTTCTTTATAATTTTACACGAATAATAACCATACTAATATTATAAATGTGAAAGTAACTCTGTCTATCTGTCTCGCTTTCACTCCAAAACGACAACCGATTTAAATTTGGTACACAGACTGATAGTCTAGAGCCTGAGAATGGACATAGGCTATTTTTTAATTGGAAAAAAGTGTTGAAAGATATGTATTTAATAGCTTCAACGCGAGCGAAGCCGCGGGCGAAAATCTAGTATTTTATACTTTTACGAAGAAGTTCATCGTATAACTGCCTTACAACAAAATGTATCCCAATCATTGTACTAATAAATGGAAAGTCCTTTATGTTAGAATTTCCTAAAAGATAAAAGTAAGGACTGATACTGTCAAGTAATATCTTTGGGCATGAAAACAAATACACTGGGGTATATTTTACATTTTATTATATGCATTATTTGAAGATTATTTATTTTCAATTTATTTTTAGTGCTATTTACTGTACGTAGCATGAAACGTAAAAGTATACGAAGGCACAAGTTCGATTCTTGAAAGCAGCGGTAAAAAATTTTTCACCTATTTACCTTCACGTTTTAAAGATTACTTATTGAGTATAATTGGTTTGAAAATACAACGGCAATATGTACCAGTTAGTACAAGATCTCAAATGTTTAGATTATTTTTAGACTTAAAATAAAAATGAATCAGCGATCAAATTCTAATCAGAACAATTGACCGAAGATTCTCCGACCAGTACGCAATTAAACAATTAGAACGTGATTGACAATTAAACAAATATAACAATCGCTTTAAGACAGTAGTATATGTTATCGCTATCATTTTAGGTGCAATGTTCTCAATAACGGTACTGAGCAAACGGCTTCAGATCGATGACTCTTTCCTTTGCCTCATATCAATCGCCAGCAAGTTCGTTGGATCTATTTGGACGGCTTTTGTACAAACAGACATAGAAATGTACCTAGGTAAGATGAAAACTTTTCTGTTAAATAATGTATGTATAGTATATTAAAAAAAATATGTACTCATTTTCAGTGCCTGTAGCCGAGATACTGAATGCCACCACGTTTACATCTCTGCGTTCAATTATATCGAAATTAGTAGATAAACAGGAGACTGGTAAGTTAAAATAATATTATGTATTCCAAACTTTTAAGTAGTCAATGTGTGGAGTTTATACTGTTGATACTCACGTAGGCTAGGCTATTATTACTATTACACCTGTATGCTATATTGTAAACTGTTATTTTTGGAAAAGAGCAACTGTTGGGTTTCTTAACGGTCTCTTCTCAACATAAACTGCTTTCCGAACCGGTGTTACCTTACGAACCTTACGAACATATATATATATATTATGTAAAATTTTACGATTCATTTTTTTTTACTTTAAGAACGCGCAAGCATTTATTTCAATAAAGATATTTGATTTAATTCAAACCTCGATAATTTTAATTGTAACATACCCTAGATATTATGGACGTTGACGTGAAGAACGTCTAGCGATTGCCACAAAGGCAGGAAAAAACATTTCAGGAAGTGTTGATCTCATTGCGATACAGCGTCTCTTTATCTTGTGTAATGAATGCTACAACTGCATGTTTTTGTTATTGCTCGGCATTAATTGATTGCAATATTCATTGGTACTTGCACTGGAATTTAAGTTTTTTACAAGTTGCTCGAATGTATTGAACTAAAGGCGAGCGCCCATACACTCAGCTATTGCGGCTGTTCATAAGTACAAAAATAATGTCATTTAATATATTATGTGTAAAACCTAAAAGTGTGTTTATTCACAGAGAAATTTTGTTACTTTGTAGGTACCTAGAGTACTTACCACCCGAAAAATCGAAACACATAAATATTTCCTATTCTGACGGGAAGGATAATGACTCTTTACTTGACTTTTATTAATATAAATGTATTTAATAAAAACTACACTTTACTAAAAACTACTGTGACACGTAGTTTTATTGAAACAAAATAGTTAATTAATGGTGTGTTTTCACTTTTTCACTAGTCATATCAGTACAAATGAATTACTTTATAATATAATTTCTTAACCTTAAAGCATACATCTATGACTTAAGTTTAAAACGGCAAAATGTCACTAAGTTCAAAGGACACGCTGGTATACAAAGCCAATTTTCACCATTTAAGCTATTCCACTTACGGTTAAATACTGTTGCTCCGTTTTCTAGACTCACTCAAAGTATAAGTTTGTAATTTGATTGTAAAACTGTGACCAGTAATTCGACTTGGTTCCATCTGCAATTTGATGTTGATAAATAGTAAAGTATAAAAAAAACATGTCTGTCTTACGTTTTATAATTGCTAACAGTACCTAGAGTTCATCCAGTTTTTATTAACCTGGAGAATTAAAATAATTAATTTATCAGTCAATGCCAGACTTGTTAATTAGCTTTCGACACAAAATATACAGTTAAATGTGAGAATATAATTTAACGGTGGTAGGGCCACGCAGCAGCCTCGGCTGTTGCAGGAGTACCGACCGGTTGCCGACCGGGTATGTACCACGACCTCACAGAAGACCGGCGTAAAGTGGAAGTATGACAAATACTTTCGCGTTTCGTCTGGTGAGTGAGGTAGCCGGAGCCCAATTTCCAAAAAGGTTGTCAACGCATCTGCAAACCCTCGGGTGTAGCAGATGTATATGGGCGGCGGTATTCACTTAACATCAGGTGGACCGTCTGCTCGTTTGGCAACTTTTTACATAAAAAAAAAAAAAAAAAAAGTAACATTTCTGTCACTAATGATGGCCAAGTTCTGCATTATTGCTATAATGACATTAAAGATATAGTGTTATGTTAGTTTACGGACGCTATGACGACCACAATGTTGTGCTTCGTGGTCTAATTGAAAGTTATAACTTACTTGAACGTATTGTTACTTAACTAGGTTAAGTCGCTGTGCCATTACGACGTTGTCGAGAATTTGAATTTTTTAATTTAGATCTTGCAGTATCATATAAATAATTTTATAAGTGTATGACGATTAAATATCTTTGTTTCGTATCACACATCGGCTTTTTTTTTCATCGTAGCAGTGTTATAATTTTATACCAACACACGACAATAAGCGCTCGAGCACCGTGCGCAGATTTAAAATTTCGGCATTGCTAATAACGAGCATAAGACGTCCCTGGTTTTTTTTAAATCATCATTATGTTAATGATTTCTAAATAAGGAAGCGAACCCATTGTCTCATTTTCAAATGTATAACGGTTATTTCCCTTTCTTCCAGCTAAAGTGAACTCATTGTTTTCTCTAACTGAGACGCTTGCCTCTCTCGTGTTCCATCCATTCTACTCCTGGATGTACATGAAGACGCTTTATGCACTTCCCGGGGCGGTGTTCCTCATTAGTGCAGCACTTATTGTTCCCGCCGCTTTTATTCTCACGTAAGTTTATTAATACGCGAGAACACACAACCCAAGTCTGGGAAACACATTATTAAATATATCTACACTTTTAATAATAAAAATGCAGATATACTTAGGTATTTCATTCCAGGAACAGTTGAACTTGATGTTTAGAAAGTGAATTGATAATGTATTTTTACGTGCATTTGTGCTTTAAACGGCGTGTATCGGAATACTAACCACGATGGTATTGAGAGAAAAAAATGGTAATATTACCCACATTAAAAATTTTACATCCACACGTTAAAAACTCCCGCTGGATATAGAATTACGTTATAAAAATCAAATCACTAATGTCACATAACTTTCCCAGAAGAAAAGGAAATCTATTTTGTAAACGATTCCGTACTTTCATTTTCCAGGTCATTCTTCATTCAACACAGGAAAGAACTTAGAAATGCTAGAAAGGCAGCTTTGGAAGCTGAAGAAAAAAGAGATGCCACTAACTGTATAGCATCCAAAAGCAATTATTTACCGGAAACTATAAAACGGATAGAAACTGAAGAACACAATGGAAAAATATAAACAAACATCGATTTCACATATTGATTAGATTATTAAAGTATCGATAAATTAAAGTGGGATCATTGTTTCGTTAAGAGCGATTCAACTTAGATAAGCAATATCTGAAGAGTTAAGGAGCTCATTTTGGCATAATTTTTAGAGCGAAAGAGTATTAGTGTATATTGTATATTGCCGCATTTAAATCTTTACCGTGTTTTAATATAAGCATATAATGCCACCTTACTTAGCCCTTTTAATGTTATTAGTTTTATATTAAAAGTATTTTAATTTTGTACAACTTATACACTGTTTTCAAGAAATATGCACAGCCTCGATGTGACTGGAAATTCTGGACTTGTGTGTACAAGATTATAACAATAATTGACACGATAACGCTACAAGAAAATGTTTTACGTCTCAGTAGTTGACCAGAGAGCTGATCTCGAAAACAAATTGTGATATCCGACTTGCCATCTCGTTTTTTTCGCAATGCAATTTCAACCAATGTTCTCAAAATTCATTCATCGTAACTAATCAAATGCATAAGATTTTTTCTGATTTATTGGTGTCGAATATAATTTTTTAATATTGGGTCTATTAAGTCAATAAGTTAACTTTACAGAAAAAATATGGTTTAAGTTGGATGGAAAATATGGCCTACCCGAAGTTTACTTTTTACCCGACTGCGCCAGAAGGAGGGTTATGTTATTCAAGAGTATGTATGTATGTATAATTGTTTAGTACGCTCTGCAGCCTGAACGGCTTGATGGATTTTAGCTTGAGTGGTATCGTTAGATTCGTATTGACTGTAAAAGTGACACTGGGTATTGCAAAATAAAAAAAAATACAAAAAACGCAGTAGATTTTTTTAGGTTTTTAAATTTTATTTTACTTGTTTGGCGTCTGCTTACCTTAGACGAAATATTTCATGACCACTTCTTATTGAAAAAATAAGAAGTGGGCATGAAATATGTCGACTAATTTATCATTCCATACAACAGTAATTCTACCACCATTTAATGCCTAAACTTTTATATACGAAATTCTTCTAAACTAACGTATAAAACTTAATTTAACGAAATAGTTTATATTTCACAACAATTATCATAAAACAGAGAAACAAATTTTAACCTTAACAGATAAAATAAAATGATGAGTCATTATATTGGATAGATTCCAAAAGAAAAAGTTTTTCACAGCCAGTTGCAGGAAGTTTACTGTTGCTGAGATCTTATAATGTTTAGGAAAGACTCAAAAAAAGGAAACAATTTAATACAAGATCACCGACTTAACGTAAGTCTCGCAAAAATTCCGATCGTTAGTATTTTAACCGTACGTGATTACTTAAAGACCTTAAATAAAACAGTTACAGTATAGGCTTATGCCAATTTTGTGAACAAATGTTGAAAGTTAAATAAAGTATTTGTATTTATAAGAATTTGTGGATCAGACATTTTCTTTACCAGTATCCTCCATAGCGTTTAAGCGAATGTTAAATACTGAACAGAATGCTATTTTAAATACAACTATTAAAGTAATTACAGGAGTATGTCCAGTACCGCACAAAACGGTAGTACAGTACCCACATGGAACAAGTGTTTGTGTGAAATACAAATAATTTTTCCGGATCTGATGTTTCCCAAAACGGGTTCAGGCAGAACCACCCTAGGGCATGAGAAAATTAATACTTTATTGCATAGTCTAAAACCATGTCATACATTTTGAGTGAACAGTAACGTTAAGACAACAAAACAAAGTCTACGCAACGAATTTTATTACAGTTTTTGCCAATAGATAGTGTGATTCTAGATGAAGGTTTATATAATTTATATATAAGTTACATGCAGGTAATAGTAGAAAAAAAGAAATTCAAAGATTTGTAATGTGATGTCGTAACACGTCGTACATTTTGCAAACGCTCATTAAGCCTTTCGAGATAAATCAAATTAATATTTGTTTTTTAGTAATTGTTTATCTTGAAAAAAGATCGATAGCAAAGTCTGCGATAATAATCTTTAATTGGATGAGTATTATTACTTATCCAATTAAAGACATCAGATAAGTTGTGCATTTCATGTAGATCAAAATTGCCCTTTACAGCATATCATTAGAATGAATATCTTTTTTTTTTATGTGAGAAAATGGCAAACAATCTGGCGGTTCACCTGATGTTAAGCGATAGCCGCCTGCACATGGACATTTGCAACACCCGTAGGGTTGCAGATGCATTGCCACCTCTTAATAATGTGGGCCCCGGCTACCTCACTCACCAGACGGAACGCCGAAATGCAACATCTTCACTTTACGCTGGTCTTCTGTGAGGTCGTGGTACTAACACGGACGGACCTGCCCATTCGTGCAATAGCGGACACTGTTGTGGTCGTGCCACCGTTAAATCTTAGTTTTATCAGGTGTTTAAAAAGCGTAAGCACAGCGGCTAGCGGCTATATCTATCTCGTTTGGCAACGGTCGGCGGGCTCACGCTTTCAAGAGTAACATCTAAAGAAAACATGTTTGCGCTGTCATGAAAAAAACAACTGTAAATAATTCAAAAAAAAAATACAAGGTAATTTTTTCGATGAAGTACGTACTTTTACACAATGTTGATTGACCATTCCATAATTAAAAAAAATGTTAATATTTTATTATAAGAAATAACCAGAAAAATATCAATTCAAACATTGTTTGTTTATCCCGTTGAGAGTGGTCTCCCTATTAATAAGCGGGTTAGTTACTAATTATGCATTCAGCGAACACGTTTTAGTGCCCTCGAACAGGTTATTGTATTTTTTTGGTAGAGGATAAGTTCAAAGGAATTGAATAATTTGCCAGCGTCAGTCTATCCGTCCGAATATAACGTCCGTGTCCTAAAGACAAGACGCACTGGCTTAATAAAAGCCTAGACAGGTTTTTACTGAGCCAATACGTAAAGCATTTATAAAAGATAACGTGTAAAAAATGTCTTTTAAAAAATGTATTTTTTGTGATTTAATAATAATTTATATTAATTATTATTAGTAAAAAGAAAGATTCATCCGCCATTATTTTTTAAGTCTTTTAACTGTAAATGTTAAATTAATTCATAATTATGAAATCTTTTTGATTTGAACCATCTACTTTATATAACACTTTATATAGCTGCTGCCCGCGACTACGTCTGCGTAGAATAGACTGGAGGCGTAACATTCAGACAGAATAAAACATAGTTATAGCCTATGTTTTATTCTGATGTATAAGCTATATTATTGTAAAGTATCATTAAAATCCATTCAGTGGTATTTGCTTGAAAGAGTAACAAACATCCATCCATACATACAAAGTTTCGCCTTTATAATATTAGTAAGGATAGTAATGATTGTAAAAAGCACTCTACACATTCGTGATAATCTGAGAAACAAAGTAATAAAAGAATTTAGAGTTGAAGAATTTTGACAACAGTAGAATTATTTACTCGTAATTATAAACCGCACAACAATCTAACCAATTTTTTCTACTACTTTTAAAAATAATTTGAGGAATTATAACTACTTTTTTACAAAGTGTGATCTATATGATCCAATAATATACTTACGAATGAAACTTCAAAACTGCGGCTTTGCGTGCATCAAAATCCCAGGCAACTTCTTCATTTTAAAAAATTAAAAAGTCAAAAATTACTGTAAAAGCTTACTGTAATATACTCATCAGAGTTTAATCATTAGTAAATTACAAGTGGCTTATCGAAAGGAATTTCAATTTATTTTTATAAACTTTTTATTATTCGTAACTCGGTTGACTTGCTATTAAGACATATGTAGTATATTGTATTTATGTCTATATTTTTATAGAGTAAGTCCACTGGGCCTCTTATAAGATACACATTATTTTGTATTTGCTATTGTTAAAAAAAAAAAGAAAACAAGTATTGATACTTCTTCCCACGATTATTTATTCACATTATGATCAGAATAGAATATCTATTATCGTAAACAAATGTAAAGTAATTCCTTTTACACTTTGAAGGCAGTCATATTTTACAAATATAAATCCCTGTAGTATTCCGTTATGACTTTTAGACTGTCTGCGACACATACATAATAAGCCTAAAAACGTCATAAAATAATGTAAATATAAGTAGTTTTAGGGTCTTCACCTTGACTTCACCTTTACGATTTGTTTTCCCTTCTTTATTTATAAACATGATATCCTAATTATGCAATTCTTAAGAATAGAATAGAAAAAATATTTAAACAATTCATCAAATTCCTTAAATATTATTTGGTCGCAACCTGATCCTTACTCAATTATAAAAATAATTTGATCACTGATTTCTTTAACCCGATCAGTAAATGCGTTTCAAACATTACAGAGGCATCATTTAATTAAAACCATGAATGCAAATACTGAACTTGACATTATTATAACTTGATTCGCTTAATCCTCACTAATATTATAAAGGCGAAAGTTTGTATGTATGGATGGATGGATGTTTGTTACTTTTTCTCGCAAATACTACTGAATGGATTTTAATGAAACTTTACAATAATATAGCTTATACATTAGAATAACACATAGACTATAATTTATATACATATTTTTATGTATATCTTTCGGTCTGAATGTTAAGCCTTCAGTTTATTCTACGCAGAAGTAGTCGCGGGCAGCACAGCTAGTTTAATATAATCTTCAAATACAATGTGATTGTTTTTGTTTTGTGGTGGACACATAAAATATCGAAGGCACCTATTGATTTTATGCTTGTTTCTTATTAATATTAGTAAGGATATAAATATAATAGTTAAATGTATAATACGTTATCACTACATAGTATAAAACAAAGTCGTCCCGCTGTCTGTCTGCCCTTATGTATGCTTAGATCTTTAAAACTACGCAACGGATCTTGATGCGATTTTTAACACTAGATAGAGTGACACGAGAAAAAGGTTTATATGTTTAAAACATTGCATCCGTGCGAAGCCGAGCCGGTCGCTAGTAGCGTATAAGAAATGGTGCATTAAAATGTGTTAACTAATTTCAAGAAATACATGGCCGGTACTTTGAATATAATCACTTGTTATTAACAAAAATCACAATAAAAGAACACTTAAACTTTCACCTCATAATCAAGAACCTAGTCATTTTGTTCAATTCATAACACATAAAACAAAAGAAAAATATAAAATACAGTAAACTGTTATATTATTATTACAAAAAAATAATATACATATCAAATAAATTAATGTTGATTCTTTGAATAGCTATGGGTCACTTTTTAGGGTTCCGTTATTCCCAAAGGGTACAACGGGATCCTATTACTAAGACTCCGCTATCTGTCTATCGGTTACCAGGCTATTTCTGATAGTTAGACAGCTGAAATTATCACAAATTATGTATTTCATCTGTTGCCACTATAGCACCAAATACTAAAAAAACAGAATAAAAAAAATGTAATTGAAGTGGGGCTACCATTCAACAGACATGATTTTTTGCCGCTTATATAGATAATGGTACGGAACCCTTCATGCTCGAGTCTGACTCGCACTTGGCAGGTTTTATTTTAAATATATCTCTTAACTCCTGAAATTACACAACCTTTAGTTTAATGAATAGTAAATAAATGACAAACAAGACAAACAAATATTTAATCGAGCACGATATTATGCTGCTGATAACAATTTGAAAATAATTGATACTTACCTAAACTAACTTTTATCAGAAATCGATATACGTTACTAAGTCATTTGTATATGAACGATTGTGTTGTAAGCATTCAAATCACAAAATAAACAATATGTTAGCAAGTGCAACACAAGATTGTAAGTCTGATGTCCAAAACCATGTAGAGGGATTTTGTGAGAAGGATCCTCTCAAAGAGAATAATGAAGACACAAAACCAAAGGATAACAAGACAGTGAAAGAAACACTCGAATATGTTTTCAGCAATATAACGGTGGAACCAACGGTGTTCTTTTTTGCATTTTCAACATTGTTCACCATTTTGACTTCGCAGAATTTAAATCTCGAAAAGGCTTGCCGAGTTAACCTTAACCTTACCAAAGAGATCTGTGATTCCCTCCGCGCGCAAGATGTAGAAAGTGAGAATCAGTACGAAAGAGAGACACAGAAACTAATAACTTCTGCTATGGCGTGGAAGACGTATTTGACAGCAACCATTCCTTGTTTTTTCGCCCTTTTTGTCGGATCGTGGTCTGACCGGACCGGTTACAGAAAAGTGTTTATTCTGATTCCTATAGCAGGACAGATCCTTATATGTGTGAATGGAATGATTAATACATACTTCTTTTACGCACTTCGCCTGGAAATGTTTGTACTAAGCGAAGGAATTTTAGAAGGTTTAAGCGGTGGTTGGTGTATTTGTTTCCTAGTCGCGTTTGCGTACATCAGTGCTATAACAACGAGTGAGACAAGGACGTTTCGAATGGGATTAGTGAACTTCTCTTTGACTGTTGGATTCCCAGTAGGAATGAGTATGAGTGGGGTGTTTCTAAAAAACTTTGGGTATTACGGCAGTTATGGATTAGCATTCAGTATGCACACCATTAATTTCATGTACAATCTCCTCTTCTTAAAAGACACCGCCAAAACTATGGATCAGAAAAAGGTAAATTTAAAATTATTTTACGATAAGTTTAATGCAAACGAAAATGATACACATGACAAAAATCAACAATTCTTGCGTTATTCGTTAAAAAGCACATGTAGAATTTAACAAAATAATACATGTTTCAGAAACTTTTCACTTATTCTTAATAATATTATAAAAAAAATTGAGATTGTAGTTATTTAGATAGTGACATGGAATCGTTATGGTGAACTATATGCTCAAATGAACTAGTATAATTATGTTCAATACTATCTTTTAAAAGTTAAGTAAAAACATTTTATCCAATAAACCTGGCATACTGAGAGCATCGCTTTATTTATATGTGAGCAAAAACAAACAAACAAATAAGTATGCAACAGTAATTGGTTATAATATATGCACAAACTTTTGTGTATTATTTTTGTACACAATTTTTGCTATTGACTATTTAAAAAAATCTTTGTTCTATGAATTTCCGTTGTATTTTATCGCTTTCATCTATTCCTGACTATCTAAACTTTGTATCTCTGTAAGTAACAAATAATAAGGCAAATAGTTACTAGCGACAGGTATTTTCTATTAGTTCCATAATAATTATGTCAAAATTCTGTATCTAGTAACCAAATCTATCTGTAGATTGAATATTGAAACCGGTCGTAAAAGAACAATAACAAAGAATCAAAATAAATAAATAAACAAACTTTAAACACCAGTATATATTGCTACTGCGGTTTGCTTTTATTTATTACATTTCGATGATTTCATCGTGAAGGTAGTTCACCGTCACCAAAAAGGCCGTCTCCAAGTCTTTTTATAGTGCTCAAAACGAAGACAAAAATTATTGAGTAGATCTCAATGCTTAATGTTTTCAATGTTCTGTGACATCTGCTTGAAATAAAATAACGCCGCTCGAAATAAAATGAATCAAGTTGAGCAAAAGAAACGTGCCTACCCATTCATTAATTGAAATTTAGAAAAAGCCAGGACATAATCAATTTTGTCTTTTGCAGGAAAGCGGCCAGGGGTGTGTTCATTTTTTCCGTACGTTCTTCGATTTTACTAACCTAAAGGCAACTATAAAGACTGTTTTCAAAAAGGGACCTAACAATAGAAGAGCGCGTATTATTATTCTTTTATTAGTGGTAGCTATATTATTCGGACCTATGCACGGTAAATAATTTCTTTATTTTTTTAGTTTTGTTTTTAATTCTATTCTATTCTTGATTTTCACATTTATACTGTCCAAAGATTTTCATAAAATGTGATCCTGAAATGAACATTGTTTTTTTATAACAGTATTTGGCAAATGAGCAAGCTATTCACCTGCAAAGTGATTACCCGCATTTATGAAAGTCCATAGCAATTGTAAGTTGGCAGTTGCATTGAATTAGAATGAATCATAAAAAGATAGGACCCTGATTTCACTTACCAGACGCAACATAAAATCATTCTTATTCCGGCAATGCAATTTCAACCGGCCTATTCATGCAATATCAAAAACTGTTACATATAGTAATCAATTGCTGTTTTGTTATTAATATTATTTTTATTTCAGGTGAATTATCAATATATTACATCTCTACGAGATACAGATTCAATTGGGACGAAGTAAAGTTCAGTATTTTTCAAACATACAATTTTGTAGCACATACTCTTGGTAAGATTTATGTCTTATTACATCAATGGAACATATTGAGGTTACTTTAATAAGTAATAACTGAACGTTATTTTAAAGAATATAATAGTTCTGGAAATTTAGTTCTAAACTTCTTCAGAGAGCTTCAATCATATTTTATCAAAAATCATATTTTATCCTAATGAATCTAAAGATTCTATATCTTACTAAATTTCTGTAACTACATTTTTAAAATGGTTTCTTAATGATTATTAATTCGTTTCATATGAAAACAAGTCACCCAACGACTGAGTTGTTTTAAATTGTAAGAAAAATTTCAGGTACTCTCTTCTCTTTAGCCGTATTTAGTAAATATTTAGGTTGGCACGATTCTCTTCTTGGAATCATTTCCACAGTAAGCAAAATTGCAGCTTCCTTCGTGTATGGTTTTGCCCCAAATGAGAAGATATTCTTCTTCGGTACGTATTACATTCAATTTAAACTATACATTGCATGTTAATGGTTTCTTCAATTTTATATTTCTTTAACTTAAATTTATTTAAATTTTACTGCATAAGAACAGCAACTGCTCATATAACACTGCTGCTTTTTCTACAAAATTTAATAACACCGCTCTTTCTTGTCTCCATTACATTTTAAAAGAAAACATTTTGATCTTGCCCTAGAAAAAAATCTTAACCTAGCATCAGTAATTTGAAAAACAATATCTATTACCAACTATTGAAGAGGACATAATCTTGTGGCTCACTTGGCTTAAGACATCTTCAACTCCTCAAAAGTTGCCGTCTAGTTGCTAATGTTTGAAAAAAGTTAACCTCGGTTCCTCCTTACTAACCAGACGAAACACAAAACTATAACTATCAGCAGAACAGGCAGTTCACCTGATTTTAAGTGATTACTATCACCTATTAACATCTGCAACATGTGAGAGGTAGCAGTTGCGTTGAAAAAGAACCCTTTGAGCTAAATTTTTAAAAAGAGTCAGAACTTTTTAAAGGGAGTTACCTCATTTTATATTGGTAATACCAGTGGCAAGTCAAATATTAAAAATTAAAGACATCATCAATAAAGACAGGTTATCAACTTTGCTAGTATAACCAATTTTCAAAAGGTTGTCAACGCATCTGAAACCCTCGGTAATTGCAGATATCCATGGGCGGCGGTATTCACTTAACATCAGGGGAACCGACTGCTTGCTTGGCAACTTATCATAAAAGAACTTAACTCAATATCATTCAGTGGATTAGTAGAATCAGTAAAATAAATTTGAATTGATAAAAAGTTATACTAATTGGATTGGAGTGATAGCATCGAAGAAACATTGCGATTTCAGACATTGTGACCTATGACTGGCTGAGGAATAACCTCTAAACCCTCAACTAGAATTTTTCTCTTTGCGGGGTTTTTCTAATTTTTAATAAGTAATGTACTTCTCATAAGTGTATTTATAACAAGACATTCGGTCATAATTCCCAAGAAAGTAAATTTTATAAAAACATTAATATGCGTTTCAGGACCTGTGGTTGAAATTTTGAATGGCACTTCATTTTTGGCTTTAAGATCTATCATTTCAAAAATGGTGGCTACTGATGAATTAGGTAAGATATAGTGTTATTATTCCATTCCTTTTTTGGTTACCTAATTTCATAATCATTTTTATAATTATGTATATTTTGTTTAACAACCATTATAGATAATAAAAAAAATATTGAGATGAGTCACTTTTGCCGTCAATAAGAAATGTATAAAGTTAGTGATTAAAATTTTATTAGTATAAATATTTCATTACTTCATTTCTCCAGTAATTAGCAATCTAATCACGTTCCCATATTCTAGATATCTTTTCAACTAGGATGAACGTAATATTTTTTAACTACCCTAAAAAGTACCGGAACATGCTGAATCTGATATTTCCGTTAATTTTTATTAAACTATATACCTAATTGCCTCATATTACTTCACATTGTTAATAGGTAAAGTGAATTCTTTATTTGCCTTAACGGAAAATCTCATGCCCCTGCTATACATTCCCCTGTATACGAAAATGTATTCTGCTACAATGGAGGTCCTGCCAGGGGCTGTATTCATGATAGGCGCAGTGATGACTTTTCCGGCTATTATAGTCTTCAGGTGCGTATCTGTGGTACATATAAATTGAAAACTTTAACAACTATCTTATCTTCAACATGTCCGTTAAAAATTGAAAATACTACTTAAATAATGTAAATCCGTTTTAGGCTATAACGTTCGATCATAACATGTACGTACGATGTAAAAAGCTGTGGATTTTGTGTGAAATAAAAATAGAAACAAAATAAAATAATATAGAATAAATAAAGAATAAAATAAAATAAAATAAAATAATGGAAACGCACATTATATGAGTATTATTACTTCGCAATTACTCACTTCCTCTTCCACGTGATATTGCTTCAAATGAAGTTAGTAGCTTATTAATTGTACAGTCCGATTTTGACCTATGGGTACGCAACCCTAAAAACTTCATTTAAAAATTGTTGAATTAATAATTAATGAACGCAGAGTATATTGTAAAATGCCTCAGTATTGTAATTGCCTCAGGTATAGTAGATTACATATAATAATAATATAATCATAAAATTAATTTCAGCTGGCTCTTCTACGAACATAGGACGAGTTTGAAAAAACTAAAGAACCATAGTTTTGCCGAATAGCTTACTGCGCATAGAATCGGTTAAAGATATCTTTGTGATAAGAACATGTTCTAAGTCATTACTAACAAATAAATATGTCATATACAATTTTGTTTCATTTAAATATAGGTATGTACACGTTCCATAAATACATATATACAATCCATTCAGAAACTGTAATACTTTGTGCGTGACGTTTAACATATAAAAGAAAAATTCATACTCGTATTGAACACTATTTAACACAAAAAATATATTTTATTGCCGATTACAAGTAGAGTTTTTTGTTGATTTAATATTTTATTTGCGCTACGAACCCGTAATTCATTAAGACGATGTGGCATGCTGTAAACCTAAAAATTTTAATAAGTACCATTAAGACTATGTGTGACCATTCTTCTACTAACGCATTCTTCAACATACCGTAACGTAGCTTGTGCTGGAACACGTTGTCTTACACATCCCTTAAAACCTTTTCCATACATCTAATATATAAAATTCTCGTGTCACCATGTTTGTAATCGAACTCTTCCGGAACGGCTCGACCGATTTTCGTGAAATTTTGTGTGCATATCGGCCAGAGTGGAGAATCGGACAACATCTATTTGTCATCCCCCTTAAATGTTGGTGGTCCATCATAAACATTTTAATCCACCGAATGGCACGTCTTATTCAAGCGAGCTGACGATTTACTTGATGGCAAGTGATAACCGCCACCCATGGACATTGGCAACACCCTTAGGCTTACAAATGCTTTACTACCTTTCAGCAAAGTGGGCCCCGATTACGTCGCTCACCAGATGAAACTCAGAACTATAACACTTCCACTACACGCCTGTATACAATACTGTTGTGGCCCCCCAACAGTATTATCTGATTGCTATTAATTGGCTCGTTATAACTATAGATTAAAAATTTTCGCATTTACTCACTGCCTCTTCCACGTGATGTTGGTTCAAATGAGGTAGCTAATTTTTAAATATTTTAAAGTTTTTTATAGTGCTAATCTCTGCACTTAAGATTGAACATTAAAACATGTAGAAAAGTACGAAAAGATTGTCGCCGCTGTGGGCCGCGATGGCGACATCTCTCGTTCGAATTATCGTATCGCCGCGAATTCCGAAGACGTGGGTTCGATTTCCACAGCGGCGACAATCTGTTCGCACTTTTTCTTCATGTTTTAATGAGGTAGCTAATTACTAAAATTCTCTAGTCCCAAACTAAGCAATGCTTGTACTATGGATACCAGATAACTGATAAACATACTTAAAAATACTTTTCTTTTGTAAATAAATATATATTAAACATAGGTATATAAATACCCAAACACTAGATAAACACTATAAACTAACAGCCTATAAGCACCCATTGCTGGGCAAAGGCCTCCTATGTACAGAGGGTATCAGGGCATAGTCCCACCGCGAGTTGGGGATGCGGATTTGCGGACTTCACATATCTTCGAAATAATTAATAAATAAAAATAAATTTTGTTATTAATGAATAAAAATAAATTTTGTTATTATTGATATATTGTCTAATAATAGAATTAATCGAAAGCTGAAATAGCTATTTAATATCTCATAGCTGTTTAAAAGATAATTAAGCTTTCTCAAAAACATCTTGACATAGCGTCGGTTAATATATGTCCGGTATCAACCAACGCTACACTACAGTAATCATGCTCTCAAATATTTACTAACAATTGTGATATAAGTAATCACAGTACAAACACTTACAATACATTAATTGCACAGCTTTCTGCAGCTGACGGTTATACTCGTAGTTGAAAAACAAATGCGAAATGTGAATAACATTGATAGTAATTTTCTATTGGGAATAATTAATTTTACCTTTTTAACATCAACAATGACTTCAAAAAATGAGAATAAAATACCAGACTCTGAAGATAAAGTCAGAGAGGCAGTTGAGCATAAATTTGAATATGCAGAGACATCTCCTTTAAAAGTAGATCTTGAAAATGCAGAAAAAAATGTGAAAAATACTAAAAAAAGCCAACTGACAATTAAACAAAGATTAAAATTAATAAAAGAAAATGTAACAGTAGAGCCAATTATGGCTGGTTATATAATGCCTAGTGTATTAGCATCGTTAGCAACGCAAAATTTAAATCTCGAAAAAGCATGCCTCGTAAACCTTAATTTTAGCAGTGAAATTTGTGAAGCTCTTAAATTACGACAAACTGAAAACTATACAGAATATGAAGAACAAGTTCAAACATTTACCGCTGGAATTCAGGCATGGAAAAATGTTGTCCAAACAGCAATACCTGTTCTCATAATACTGTTTGTTGGAGCATGGAGTGACAAAACGGGCAGACGGAAAGCGTGTATCCTAATGCCTATAGTAGGAGAATTTGTGACGTGCATTGGATTTATTATCAACACCTACTTTTTCTATGAGCTGCCTGTAGAAGTTACCGCTTTAACGGAGTCTATTTTTCCGGCTATAACTGGTGGATGGTTTACAAATTTTATTGGTGTATTCAGCTACATTGGTGACATTACGACAACGGAAGATCGAACGTATAGAGTCGGAATCGTTAACTTATGCATGTCTTTAGGATATCCAATTGGTAGTGCTCTAAGCGGTGTTTTATTAACATGGATTGGATATTATGGTATATTCTCTTTATCGGCTTTACTATATTTGTTTAGTTTAATCTATGGATACTTCTACCTGGAAGACTCAAAAAAGAAGACCACTGAATCGGTAAGCTTTATTTAATTAATAACAATAATTTTATATTTTAACGAATTTTACATATTTTAGTAATCATAAATTGTTACAGTTAATGTCAACATGCCAATAATCATATTATTAAAAATAATTGGATTAGAATAAATATTTATGTTTTCCATATTACTACTTCATAAAATATTTTATTTACAAAAAGTTCGAACAATCATGTCCAATGAAAACAAAGCATATAACACTTTCTTTACTAACTAGCCCGTAAATGTAAACACTATTTCAGTAGTCGTACGGTTTTTTATAAGAGATATTTATTTAATAAATATCTTAATTTAAGCCACGACAAGCTTTATTTGGTGTAAAGAGATCGAAGAAACAACGACATTGAATCATTTGTGATTTCAAATAATAACCGACCTTGTAGAAAATAACTCAATGTTTAACAATAATGAATTTATCGACCATTACAGAAACACAAAGGATGTGTGAGTTTTATTTTTGAATTTTTCGATTTCAAACTAGTAATGGAAACTTTTAAAGTAGCTTTTCGCAAGGGATCTGATAACAGAAGACTACGAGTGTGTCTGCTTCTAATAGTCGTATGCGTAGTATTTGGACCATCACAAGGTATGTCTCATAAATATTCTTAGTTGATTTCTTGTTCTTCTTCAATTATTAAAATATACACTTCAATAATTAAAATTACACTTTACATTTCACGTTACACTTTACATTTACATTATTATAATTATTGTGCCCTAGTTTTATCAGGAAATAAAGTTGTTACAAAATTATACTACTATCAAGCAAACAGTAACGAAAGTTATATTTCAGGTGAATTCAGCGTATTGTATCTGTTTACTAGGTATAGGTTTAATTGGGACGAGGTCCAGTACAGTATGTGGATGACTTATTGTATTGTAACAAACTTAATTGGTAAGTTTAATGGCTTTTACAATAACGTTATGCATTAACTAAAAAGTACAACATGTAGTAAAAAAAACTACAACATGTACTCTAGACAAGTTTTAATTTAATGCATAACATAAAACTGACATATTTTTGCCACTTTGATCCCGCATATCGAAAACTATTGAGTAGTGATGAAGTTAACAATTTTTGAAAAACCTTTTGAGATTAATTACGGACTAACTTAGTATTATTACCAACATTTTTGGTAAAAATTACTTCCTTTAATATTTTCTGCTCCTCACATCTGGAATAATCCGCTACTGTCTTGACTAATTAGTTCAGTTTGATAAACGCTCCTTAATTATATACCATTAGTAGTTTTACCGTTAAATAAACCTAATTTTTACATTAAATAATATCTATTTTTAGGAACCGTGTTTTCAATAAGTCTGTTCAGTAATTATTTAAAATTGGATGACACACTTTTGGGAATTATATCGTGTACGAGTAAAATCATAGCATCATTTGCGTACGCTTTCGCCAGGAATAATTTAGAAATATATTTAGGTAAGTAAAAATAACAGTTATATACGATTGACCTTATTTTTTGTCTAACAATAATCGCTTTGCACGAAACAGAGCCGTTGTTATTCTTATTTAGTTTTTATAATACGAAAAGTCATACTGTATCAAATAATTTTCTTCGTCGGTTATAATAAGTTCGCTAACAACGATGTTATAAATATGCCATTGATAATTGTTTCGAGCTTACACATATAATACTAGAAATGCGGGCTTTCCCAACTTTAAAGTAATTGCCTCATTAGTGTATCTGCTTAAACGGGGACAAAATTTCAGATACTTAAAAGGCGAAGAATAAATTACTTCATTAATAGGTACTGCCTTCCAGGGTTGGAAACCACGAAATTTTATTTGGAGAATACCTTTGGTGTGGGTGTTTTGATTTAACTTTTCAATGAAGCTCTTTATAGTTCTTCCTTTTAAATTTACCAAAACACACCGCATCGTACGTTACATTCGAACCAAATCACTATAATATCGTTTAACATTTCTTAGAAATCAATAAAGTCACCTAATTAGATGTAATGACATCATCGTTTCGAATTGATTGAGTCGTTTAAATCTATTTAATACCTAAATACCTTTTCGCGCGATATATTTATGAGAACTACGTAAGCAAACGCGTTTTATGTTATATGATAACAAAGGTAATTGTGCATTTCAGACAATCTCTATGCTAATACCAAAATAAATACCACTGTTCACAGCGTTACCTTAATATAATAGCATTTGAACGATAAGCTATGTAATTGAAACTAGTATAACATTAATATAATTAAATGCAACTAAGTATATTTATAATTAAATGTAACTAAGTATAATTTTATATGAAGTATTAATAACACTTCATGTTAAATTTCAATTTAATGCCCTTTATCCTAAGCTATTTATTAGCAAAAACTATAACTATTTTAACCGACTTACCACTGCAAAGTATTTTCAGGAAGAAATAGATTTCAATAAAAATAACAACGACCCTAATAACACTCTAGGATAACCTAGGCCATATCAATAATATAGAGAGCACAGGCCACTTTCTTTAACTTACTACCTTTTTATGTGCCACGCTTACCATCTTCTCACGTAAAAAAAATAACCTGATTTTTTTTTCGAATTCCAAAAAGAAGAAAAATTTTGAAGAAAAATTTTGCGTTCAGAAGGAGGTTCTCAATTTGGTTGCATTTTTTAAGTTTGTTTCCTCAGAACTCTGTCATTTATGAATCGATTTTCATAATTATTTTTGCATTGGATTCGGTTTAGCTTTTAAATTTGTAGACAAAGTACGAAAAGATTGATAATACGAAAGAGCTAAACGGCTGATTGCCACACCGACGAAAATCTTACGCGAAAATCTCAGTGGCTAGAGCGTCACGCCGCGAATGCCGAAGACGTGGGTTCGATTCCCACAGCGACGACAATCTTTTCGTACTTTTTCTATAAATTTAAATGTTCAATCTTAAGTGCAGAGATTAGCACTATAAATAATTTAAATTTCGGTTTAGCTTACAAATATTGTGGGCCTCAGACTTCTCCGTTATCATGAATGCGCAGGTCAGGCCAGGTAAGTGGGAGTGTTATACTTCTGCGTTTCGTCTGGCGGGTGCGGTAGCCGGGCCCATTTTATCAAATGGTGGCAAAACATCTAAGTGGCTCGTTTGCAACCTTGTCAAATAAAAAATTGGTTTTCGGAGATACACTAAAGCACTTCTCAAAATCAAATAAATATAAAATGCATAGTAAGTTAGATAACTATTTGAAGTTTCTTTCTGTGTTAACGAAAGTGAAGTTTTCAGAGTCGATATTAGCGACGGCACGGATTTCGTTTCCGTATTTTTTTTATTATTCCTACATTTGCAGAATATGCATATTAATACTCTATTAACAACGAAAAGTGTTTTATCTTAAACACATAGAAACTAGTACAACAACATGGTTAACTGAAATTTGATCGTCGGCCTAAAACGTCCGTCCATCTCCAAAATCGATTATCTCCTTTGAGCGGACATGCGGTTAATACGTTGGCGAGTATCGATTCAACGCACGATTAGACTTATACAGAATCGAGCTCTATCGTTTTAATGTTTTGAATCACCTAGTTATCTAACTATTGTAAGGATTTCGTTGCTTTTTATTTAAACAAAAGCTTCCAATGATTCCATCACTTTGCAACATTTGTGATCACGGAACGGACCAAGTCATAATGACGCTGTAAGACTAGACTGCCATCAGTTATAAAAACTAGTTAATTAAGTGAAGTAAACGATTATTTAAAAATAATAGCCTCTTCTGCCGATACATTTAAGCATTTTATTGGAGCTGCGATGATGGAAATCGATGAACCCTCTAAAAGCCATTCATTTCGTCCCATTGGATTAAAAAAAATTCTACGTAGAATGGTATCCAAAGTTCCAAAAAAATGAGAATCGGCTGTAGCAAAGTGCGAGAGCTTGATGAGTATTGTTGCTGATTCTCAGTTTCCAGTTGTAATCCATATGATAAAAAGTTTCCAGTCGTAGGAACAAATCTAGCTTATTTGTTGGCGAGCTTGTCCACCATATTTTACAGCCCTTTATAATATTTCTTAGTATACGTTTTATCTTCTAACTCAGCAGTAACTGTTTTGATAGGACCGCAAAAAACGGTAATGAACAGAACCGGTGCTGGTCCGCCACATTTTTTTACATTGAGAAGCAGTTTCCTTACAAAGGGTATTAGGGCATAGTCTACCACGTGACCTCACTGTAGATAGGCGGACTTCACATATCTTTATTGTTATTTTTTCGAAATAATTTCCTCAATATGTTTCCTTCATCACGGGGCACAGGATAAGTCATTTCACTTAAAATTAAGAATATCATTGGTGGTGTCATTCATTTGGAACAGGAGATTGAACTCATGTTGCTCGATAATCATATTCATATTCATCATATTTAATTAAAAGCGAGCGCCCGAACAACGAGCTCTGAAGCAACCAATAGTGCAAAGCAATAATTTTGATCATACATGGTCCACGTTTTATCACCAACGGTAATCGTCGCTAAATTTTTATAATTAAATCACCTAAAATCTGCTTCCTAGAAGTTAGAAGTTTGCTGGTGGTAGGGCCACGCAGCAGCCTCGGCTGTTGCACGAATAGGCAGGCCCGTCCGGGTATGTACCACGACCTCATAGAAGACCAGCGTAAAGTGGAAGTATGACAAATACTTTTGCGTTTCATCTGGTGAGTGAGGTAGCCGGAGCCCAATTTTCAAAGGTTGTCAACGCATATGTAGCCCTTCGATGTATCAGATGTCCATGGGCTGCGATATTCACTTACCATCAGGTGAACCGTCTGCTCGTTTGGCAACTTATCACAGAAAAATAAATAAAGAAAATTAAATAAATAAATAAATGTTTTAGGACACATTTTTACACAACGTTCTCTAGTCCCAAACTAAACAACGCTTGTACTATGGGTACTAGATAACTGATAAACATGCTTAAACGTACTTTTCTTTTGTACGACACCCAGACACTAGAAAGACACTATGGTCATCACACAAAATTTTTCCAGTAGTGGGGATCGAACCCACACCCTCGAGCGCAGGAGGCAAATACACAACCCACTAAGCCATTTGGGTCATCAAGGTATTAATATCACCAACAGACAACAAATGCTATATATGTATAGGCTAGTGGTATTAACGATTTATTGACCTTTTAATTCTCAAAACGTGAACGTAAATGGGATTGTATCCCATTGCGAGACATTGATTTCTGTACTCCATAAAACAATAAGCTGATCGTTTGCCAGTCTCGGATTTAGGGATCCGATTCTTGACTTCTAAGCACGAGCCGACATCCACAAACAATTTGTTTTCATGTCGTGAATTTTTGGGCACGTACTGATTAGTAATTTTTTTGAATTAATTTGTTTGGACCACGATAACTTAGATGTTCAAAAACATCTAATATTCTATAATAGAAGACATATAAATTATATTTTTATCTCTTTATTTCATATGTCCTAATATAGTAATTAATTTTTAGTATATCGAGAATCAATTCGGTTTACAAACAGCTATCTATGGTTAGTCACTATAATCATATTTTTTTTCGTTTTTTTTTTTTGACACATTTTTACACAACATTCTCTAGTCCCAAACTAAGCAATGCTTGTACTATGGGTACTAGAAAACTGATAAACATACTTAAACATACTTTTTTTTGTAAATGAATACATATTATACGTATATAAACTCCCAGACACTGGAAAAACACGATGTTAATAACAAAATATTTTTCTAGTAGTAGGATTCGAACCCACAACTGGAATTACATTTATTAACACCTTTTCCGTATCTTAACATTTTTTTTATATGAAAAGTTGCCAAACGAGCAGACGGTTCACCTGATGTTAAGTGAGTACCGCCGTCCATGGACATCTGCTACACCTGAGGGTTAAAGATGCGTTGACAACCATTTGAAAATTGGGCTCCGGCTACCTCACTCACCAGACGAAACGCAAAAGTATTTGTCATACTTCCACTTTACGCTGGTCTTCTGTGAGGTCGTGGTACATACCCGGTCGGCAACCGGTCGGTACTCCAGCAACAGCCGAGGCTGCTGCGTGGCCCTACCACCGTAAACACCGTAAACATATGTAAAACAATAACAAGTCATGATTTATTATTAATTTTAATTTATTTTAACGTATTAGCAGAGATTGTAGGAAGTAAAACTCCTTGAACTTGGAGAATGCTATGAATTCCTTGTGGAGATTCACGAGAATTTAAAATGTCGCTTATAAATGCAACTCAAATTGAATAGAGCAGTTTTACAAAAATACTATTTTGTAAATTTAAGAAATCGTGAAGTAATAATAAGTTTACGTGTGGCATTTTCTAAACAAGCATCAGAGTGACTATACTTAGTGGATACAATGAAATATTAAAAAATGAAAATGGAAAATTATTTTATAAATAAAATATTTTTATTCAATCAATCCAAAAAATGTAATTATAAAAAAATTATTATAAAAAAATTTATTATAAATAATTTTACAACACAAATTGAACATTTGTGTTGTAAAATTCCAAGTACTATTGAAATATCACTTTGCATCAAAGTGAAATTCAATCATGCAATTAGTTACTAATTATATTGTAATTATAAACAAATACATAGATAATGCAAGAGTAAAAGCGCGTAGTGCGTTTCCCATCTATTACTATATTACTGTTGTTTTATTTTTAGGGGATGATAGTCGATAGGGAGATATCGTAGTTTATTTTTGATATAAGAACGTTGTGAAAAATGAGTAATATACATTCGTTTTATATCAAATCTGTTGCTGTATTATCTATTATCAAGGCTGAAAAGAAGCACGTGTAACGTACTAATTAAAGTTAACGCGGTTAAAGCAGACTTAAAGCATACATGTTATAAATTATACAATTACTCATATTTTCACGAATGTTACTAATAATGAGCTATGTAAAAAGAAAATCTTTTAACTAATTAAAAATGTAATAATATTTTAAGACTGATCAAATTTTGATTTTATTTTGCATTTTCGATTTTTCCTCCACAGCTCCGCTTCTGGAAATATTAAACGGTACATCTTTTATTGCAATGAGGTCCATAGCCTCGAAGCTCGTTAGTGGGCAGGAATTTGGTAAGATATTTGCGAAATTAACATTTTATATTACTTAAAGTTATCTTAATGTTGAGCCTTTTCTTCAAAATGCCTAAAGATTCTTTTTGACTTTTGCAATTAACATTAAAACAATTAGAAAAATATAAGGAGCTAAGCGATATAGTGATTTGCTTAGGAATCAGTGACCCCAATGATTTTCTTAATGATCAGAATGATTAATTCAAAGAGTTTAACCATCCTTTGGGCAACTTAAATGACATTGGAAAATTCATTTGACAGCTGATTAGTTAATTTCTACGATGATCAGTGTTTCAGAAACCGGGCTTAAAATTGTCAAAAGAGACGATTTAAACCAAGTTCTCCAAATTTGATTTATCCAAACAAGATACGTACAGAATTTTTCTTACATCTTTCAAACTTCATTTCAGGTAAAGTCAATTCGTTGTTTGGATTAGCTGAAGCAATGACACCCCTAGTCTATGGACCTTTGTACTCCAGGACATACATGGCGACTCTTAACGTTTTGCCGGGAGCTGTATTTCTGCTCGGAGCTTTACTAACTCTGCCAGCTATCGCAATATTTGGGTGAGATATTTGTGTGCCATTTCTTTTTTATTTCGCAAGAAAATCGTAGATCTATTTGGGTATTCAAAATCCGTCTGTATTCTTTAAATATTTCCTGACGAAAATCTAGAAACACTTAAAGCATAGCTTCTTTTCTCTATATCAAGGGATAGTTACTTGCAGAAAATCGGAAACATACAATCATCGTCCTCCCTGGCCGTTATCCCACTTATGTTGGGCCGGCTTAATATTAGAGTCAAGTTATTAGTGACAGTAGTAACAGGGATTTTTGACCGATCGCTTGCCTGACGTTAGCCTTCCTTGGGAATAAATTGAAATTGAACCCGAGGCCCCCAGTACCGAATTCAATAGCTGAGCAACTGCCATAGAGTCATGTGACCATGGTTACTCACAATGTCAAACAGGACATAAGCCGCAAATAATAAATACCGTTGCATATTATTATTGTGTGACAAATTTGTAGTATATTATTTTGTGACATCATTAATGGTTTTCTTAATCTTTAAATCGTCGGAACGGTTGTTTATACGCCTTTTTACTCGTGTTTCATTTTTTATTTTGATTTTTAAGTTGACAATTTTTTTACTAAGGATACATTAATGCACGTAATATCCGTTTATAACTTACTAGTTCTTGTATAGACTTTTGTTTTTTTATTATTATTTTAACTTAAATGCAAACAATAGTAATATTAAATGTTTATATTTCAGATGGCTTTATTTCGAGCACCAAAAGGACAAACGAATAGTGACTCAAAACTCATTAGATGAGGAAAAGAATTAAATAATTTTTCACTTAATTGTAAGCTGCTTAGTGATAAGATACATTTATACAGATCTGTATACTTTATATTGTTAAAAAACATATTATCGAATAAAAATATATGTAGTTTACGTATTAATAAGTTTCTTCAACAAACCAAAATCATATTGTTTGTCCAAAGAAAACTACATCTAAAGAACAAAAAGTAAAAACTGTTTAAGGTAGATTCATCGCAAACGTTTAATTGCTTTTATACTGACGCTAAGTAAAGGTGACACTAATAAAATGCTTATTATGGTAGCACAAACAGCGGAGCAAACACCACAAAGATTATTTTAATATCCATTTACATGGAAAAAATCTTTGTTCTGTTTACAGATAAGTCAGTTTTCATAGTAAAATTACAATATTCGAATTGTGTTCAATTCCAAGTTACTTTAATAAATGAAACTAATTTTTACGGTTTCATCGCGTTTAGTTTTTATTTTAATTCCCGACGTTTCGGACCCTTTACGCGTTCATGGTCACGGGATAGACTCGTCGGGAATTAAAATTAAAAATAAACGCAATTTTGTAAAAATTAGTTTCATTTATAATGTGTAGTCGCGTAATTAAATTATTACTTTAATAATGTATAAAAATGTGCTTTAATTCCACCATTTTATTTCTCTTGGAAATCGAGCCAAATATTTATATTAACACAAACGCTTAGATTAACCCATAATAAACTATCGGTGCTATTTGGTGGCCGGGGTACCCGAGTACTCATTTATTGCAATATAGAAAAATCTCCCTCCTGCCCTTCGTCACAACATGTGAATCATGCTTTAAGCGGTTATGCTAGTTCTTACGACATCATCCTTCCTTGGGAGCAAACACCCAGATATGGATCGCTGGGAATCGAACCCACGTCCCCTGGTGCCGATAAAGCCGAAGCTTAGCAACTGCCCCACCGAGATTAAATTATTAATATGTCTGTCAAATAAAGCAAATTAAAATTTTCAACTATTTTGCTATCCGGTTAACCGGTTCGTACCTAGCGGAAGTAAATTGGTCAGTTGGACGCACCACTTCATGAAAATGTCTGTGAGGCGTAATTTCAACTCCCTTAACAGCTATCAAAATCTCAAGTCCGAGTTAGGTGGCTCGTCAGAGTATGGAAAAAATTCAAAATGCAGTAACATGAAGATTCTATTCGCGTATCCCTTTATATGGAGCATATATGAAAATTAATTGTTTCACAATTTTTTTAAGTAGGCTAATTTTCGTTTCATTATTTGCTGCTACTTTTTTGTTTCAATAAAAAAATTCTTAACGTTTTTTACGACACATTGCGACATTGTTATTTCGACTTTAAAACTACAAACATTCCTTATTAAATACATTAGATACACACCTTACCGTGTACAAACAAGTAATAGTCTTTATATCTCCTTATCACTTTGTTCATAAATCAATGACTTATTCATGATAAGTGAACTAAATCACCTTTAAATTTATAACGTACATTATATTTCAAACAGCGTCATTTATCTGTGCGTAGATTAAACTTTAAAGTAAGCAAGTTCTTTGTTTAAGAAACAATCAAACGTAATAAAGAAATTTATCAACTAAGTTTCATTTCTATTCTTTATTTCACGAAAAAAAAAAAGCAGAAAAATACGTCCAATAATGCAATCCTAATACATAAATAAATGTATCTTATTTTTTTTATACATTGCCTTTACATTAAGGTAACATTAATGGTAAATGTTATAAGTATAGATTTCGTAAAAAATTGACAATAAGCCAGATACAGAGAAGTTATGTTTTGGAATCACCAAAAGAGAAAGACTGTATACTATCTTTCCAAATACTTTCGAGATTAGACTAATTTTGATATAGGATGATAATTATCTAATTTATTGGTATTCCCTTTTTGAATCACAGGTGTAATGTACACCTGTTTCCTAATTTTAGGAACAGCTCCTTTAAAACTACTCAATGGATTTTGATGCGTTTTTTTTTACTAGATAGAGTAATTCAAGAGGAAGTTTTATATGTATAATAATTGCACCTGTGTGAAGCCGGGTAAGTAGATAGTTGTAATATAAAGTAGCGGCAGCATATCCGTTTAGTCGTCCTATTTTTAGATAACGTTGCTTCAGATTTTCAATCACTAATAAAATTATACAAAAATAGATAATTTTTAGCTCATTATTCGATTTTTAACTCTTTTTGATCTCATGGTAATTATATTTATTCAAAGTGGTTTAAAGAGGCGGTAAATAACAAAGGCCAGGAATCACTCCTACAATAAATTTGTATAATATTTATAACATGCTATTACAGAGTGTATTACAGCAAGCAAGACTTGAAAATTTCATATTCACGTCAAAGATGATTCAGAAATGGTAATAAGAGTTTATAAATAAATTATAATACCAAGCAAATAATCATTAATTCCTTTGCTACGTTATAACTAATGATTTCATACAAATGCAGGAGTCATATACATAATGAAAACGGGTATAAAAAGGACGTTTACTTTTATCGAAGGAACTACCGGCATGAGAAGCTTTTAACCCGTAGCTGCGCCAGTGCTCGGTTTCAGCCCGGATGTTTGAAAACAAACTGCGCAATTAGCTGCCACTAAATGCTACTCTAAAAGTATTCGCAAACGTTGAAAAATATTGCGAACATCATGCCACATTTAAATATGACGGAAATATTTCATGAAAGTTTGATAGATTCTATGGACAAAAAGGATTGTTTAATGTTAAAAACCGTGTATGAATTTCAGTAAGATTACGATTTCACTTAAAAGGTTTGAAGATGACAATAATAACTCTTTATTGGCTTTTCTACGAGTGAAAAGTGCTGCGTCATATTTTAAAGTAAAAAAGTAAGGATAAGAATGTGTTATTCTAATGTATAGTCTATATTATTGTAAAGTTTCATTAAAATGTATTCAGAAGTTTTTGCGCGAAAGAGTAACAAACATCCATACATACAAACTTTCGCGTTTATAATATTAGTAAGGATAATCCCCATAGCCATACGGCAAACGAAAAAGGCCAAATATTTTTTTTTATGTAAATAGGAGGAAAATGAGCCAGCAGGTCACCTAATGGTAAGCGATCTCCTGAGACCATGGACACTTACAACATCAAGGAGGGGTACATTGTCGGACTTTTAGGTAGAAATAGGGTCTCTTCTTGCAGTTCCCTAAGTCGTATCGATCCCGAATTTCCAGTAGCGACAATTGGTTCTGTACTGTGGGTGGTGTCCTGGGCTATGCGGGCAGAAAATTATGTAAAAAACGCCATTGGTGGACCGTCAACCATCAAGTTGGTGTCGATGGTAATTGATGGTTTGACAAATGTTACGATGGTGAAAGTCAGCAGCGGGTATCAATCTGAACAATTCGTCGGGACAATCTCGATATTATATCAGATAGAAACAGCAAATGCAACATCTTTTCGCAAAGTCAAAGTGTTGAGGCAATTGGACAGGACCCGGCCGTTGACGATTCGAGCAAATCTTCGTTGGATGCAGTCAAATAAAATGAGCCACTAGATTTTGGTGCCACACTTCAAGGTAAGAAAAGTATTCCATGTGCGGCCGAACCTTCTTGTATCTTGTATTAACTGATGTTTTTGCTTTCAGTCCCGAGACTATTAAAGCTTCATCGGACGCAGAACCGGTGGGCTAGCCAGAACCCACGGGTTTGGACCCTCCGCTATGGGTAGGGTCGCGCATGTGCTCATGCGTGCGTTTAATTATGGTATGTCATCTAAGGGCCGTCGAGGTCGCGGTTCGGACCGAGACCCCGACGGCCGTCGACTGTGCATTTAGCTAAGGTCGAACCTGTATTATATAGAGCTGTAAGCGATGAGCAGAATTCATACATAAATACCTTCTCGCTCTACCTGAACTCTACTGTGGGCCAAAATGAGAAATATTTGCTGAGCCGGTATATAAGATGTCACTCGTAGTGTAATTCGCATAGCAATGTTAAAAATGAAATAAATCATTGATATGCAGAAGGAACAAGGTAGGAACAGTTAGCAGCTAGTGAGACCGACGGAATTCATACTGATAATCCTTAATCAGCTGGTGCTCCTCAAGAAAATAAAGAGCTGACAGTTAATAATTAATTACATTATTTGAGAGAACAAAGACGTAAAGGCGATAGGCCTATTGTTTGTTGGATTTATAGGCACTGTGTGCACCAGAGCCGCCTTCATAGAATTGGGAAAGAATATCTAGGGATTTGAAGCACCGGAAAAGACGCTTTAAAACCGGTGCCCACTCAGGAGCACATTCCTTAATACAATAGGATATAAAAACAGCAATAACAGCATATTACGCATACGCATACTCCTGGCTGAGTTACGGTATATTACTGTGGGGTAAAAGTGTTGATGTAGAATTCTGTAAAAGATTCTTTGGAGAGCTGTAAATCACATTTCATTAAACTTAAAGTTCTAACATTAATCTGCATATATGTACTTGAAATTAGTAGATTCGTTAGAAAACACCTATCTTTATTCCCTCTCGTACATAGTGAATGGCCTCAATACCGAAACCTTCGATATAGGAATAAATTAGCGCTACCAAGCTCTTCATTAGGTACCTTCAATCAGGACCTTACGCGATGTGTGTAAAAATATACAATAAAATACCAAATAAAATTAAGGCTCCATGGCGCAGATGCACAACGTATTGGCTTCGGCGTGGGGGATCGTGGATTCGATCCCCACACGGGACAACTATTTGTGCGACCCAAAGATGTTGTTTCGTATCTGAGTGTTTGTCCGTTTTATAACTTTATAATTTATGTTGGTAAAACGTCCTTACAACACAGGATAATGTTATCCTAAAGTAAGGGCAAGGTTTTTTTAAAAAAAAAGTAATTATGAAATAAGCAGGGCCTTTGTACAAATTATTTCATCTATTTACATCTCTGCCATAACTCTGTGTACATAAATTATAAATAAATAAAAGTATGTTTACTTCATTTATTCAATACCCGG